ATCGTGCTTCTACAGCAAGCTGGCTGACTGCCTCTCGGCAACTTATCCACCTAGATGCTTATACGACGTTCTTCTTATTAGGCATTTATATGTAATAGAGAAGACGGCCATCTTTGCCGTAGGCGGCACCGTCCAATGGTGGAAGGTTGTGGCCGACACCGACCACCGTAGACAATACACGCGTTTATCATGCGTTAAACGTATGCGAGAGGACGCTTGATCGGACGCGAAACCGATACACCGCCGATCTCGCTCCTCTTTTCCAAGATCGTGCCATACCGTGTCACACTGTCACGTTCGACACTGTCACGTTCGACACTGTCACGAGACTCCTTTTTTTTATTTTCTGCTTCTTTTGCCGTTTTTCCCTTTCCCTGTCCTGTACTGCTCGTGTAGTCCACGGAGAGAACTTGTCGACGATCGACAAAGAACCGTTGATTGTACGCGTATACACCTATAGACTGGGTCAACGAGAGCCGGTGGTTCTCATGGTGGCGCGCTACGAGGTTCGCCAGAATTTTCTCCGAAGTACCAACGGTGCCACGGAACGCGGTAACACAATGCCTCCTCGAGATGACTAGACTCTCTTTAACGCGGGACCAAAAGGGCGACGGGAGCGGGCGGTGGAGAGAGAACTCGAAGGACAGCAGCTATAATGCCGGACTGGTTAGAATTTGATCCGCCGGGAGTCGAGTCGAACCGGCCAACAATGCTCACCGAAGAAAAGAAACGGGGTTCCGTCTTTCCTTCTCTCTCTCTCTCTCTCTTCTTCAGGACGGATCGCCGAAAGGAGCCCTCCTGGTTTGAACGCTGAGAAGCGTTCACCTACACCGTACTCCTTCTTCTGTGTACGTGGCGCACACGGGAACACGGTTATCGAGCCATTTTTTACCGCTCGTACGCGAACTCGGAACACGCCCGGACCCAAAGCAGAAATCGTTTTTCGAGCTTGGCATCGCGTGAAACTCGAATCTGCCGCGCCGCTGTGATCGCTTTTAACCACTCTAACTTCCGGCCGAAGGGAGACTCGCGGATAGGATGATAGTTCAGTTTGGTATCGGTTCGCGTGAGTGGACGTCCCGAGCTGATACCGAGCCCCGAGTGTTCACCAAAAACCTCTCCAGCGTTCGGCTCATGGTCTAGAACATGATACG